AAAACAGGAAGTAAATGAGACAATAAAAACCTCAAAGAGCACGAGCTCCGTTTAACTGCATCACAATCACAGGCAAACAGAAACAAGCCGCAGCATACACTTTCTGCTTCTCGGCTCCTCCCATCGATGGACCGTCGACTTCATGTCACGGGCGGTTCAAGGAGTCACAGACATGCAGCTGCTGTGAGGGTGCAACAGCATCCTTACTGCCAGTCAGCAGGCCAAAATGTAGAATTACATATCAATGTAAGCTGTGTTTATATTAAAGTTGTTGAAAAAAAAACTCATTTTAAAATGACTGTAAGATTAAAATAATGACGATTTCATGATAATTCGAAGGATGTGACTGATTAAAAGCACATATGTGCTTAAACACATCTGCTCAAGTCAAGGCATTCAAAGCTACGACAGAGTGTAAAACAAGCTGCTACGAAGACACAGGAGCAATAATAGTTTACATAAAATCCCATAATTCCACTGGTACTGGGAAGATAGTGGCATAATGTGAGAGGTGAGAGGGAAATGGTACAAAAATACACAAGTAACACCAAAAAGTACGTAACTCTGTGGTGTGAGCTGTTTTCTTGTTTATGGCGACATGCACCTGCATCCACACCCGTTTGGTGTGGATGTTCGGGATTTATCTCATAATATATAATAAGCTCATTTGTTGTAGGCAACAACATGTAAATCTGTCTGTTAACACATGTAGCGAAAGCAAAAGTTGGAGTAGAGTAGAGGCACAAAACCTCTAGAGTGGAAAACGTGGACTTAATTTGAGAACACTTAAACCTCACGTTGAGTCATATCCCATCAGAGGGATGTTATGCTAATGTGAGTCATGGAAGAAGGTGTTGTGGTGGTACCGTTACACAACAGGAAAACACAAACAGTCAACACACAGTCATGACAGCCTTTGTCTTTTGTTAGCAATACCACACGATTGGATGTCCTAAAAGCAATTTAAAGTGTATAGACAGCATATTATGCTTAGACCTGTGGAAAAGTCATACCAGGAAAGTCTAAGGAGCTTGGAAGGAAACGTGTCTTTGTCATCCGAGAAGCTTCTTCAGGATGAGAGGTGAAACATCTTCAAGTAACTTAAAGAAGTCCAGATGCTTTTCTTTCCAAGCTCCTTAGACTACGATGAGCTGGATGACTGAGAGCCTTCACAGACTTATAAGAGGCAAAATAGTCAGTTAAGAAAAATCACCAGAATGTGATTTAAATTTACAAAAACCACGTCCTGCAGCTCTTTTCTTTCTATTTAACCCCCCAAACTGGCCAAAGTGCAGTGGTGCTTCCAATGTCTATGGCCACGTTCCAGGATGAAAGCTCATTCCAACACTGTGGATCGCAGTACATCCCGAACTGAAAGCCTTTCTCTGTCAAACACCAGTGATTGGCTCAAGCTGAATCCCCAAAAACTTTATTTCTAAAGCCTGAAGGTGCAGGAGTGTAGATCTCTCC